CCCCTCCTCTGCCTCCCTGCAATCAATGGCTGTTGTTCTAGCCGAGTTTCTGAAGATGTGGATTTAAACACACACATACCAGCCCCCACAGGAGCACACAGTCCCATAAATCCCCCCAGTTTCCACTGGTAACTACGGAGCCGATGGGGACATGGGTTTCAGGACAACAGAGGCCTGACTGCATGACTTGCTCCATGGTCTATTAACATGGCTGTTCTGGGCCTTGTCTGAAGTGGCTTGATTACCACACCCGGTACGTGGGAAACACAACATAAGTACTAGAACCTTCACTATTTCTCCCTCCAGGGCCTTCAAACGTAGAAAGTAATAAGTGAACTCAGACAGCCTAGTCACCACAATGAGGTCCGTCCAGCCTGGCTCTCCTGAGTGATGGGCACTGACTTGCACCTTAAGTTGTAACAGTAGGAGAACTGCCTTCCTCTAACTGGGCATCTCCCCACACCAGGCACGCCCTCAGCTGAGACGGGGCCAACTCCCCCACTGAGGTGTGTGCTGGTGGCTGCAGTGTGACCTGGCCCTGCTGGGACATGAACCTGCAGTGAGTGAGGTGGAGGGTGGGGTGGAGGGGGGTCCCTTCTGGGGTGGCAGGGGGCCTGGTAGCACCCCGCCCGGTGTGGTGCCTGGGGCTCCCTAACACCTCCTACAGCTCATGGGTTGGCTCCGGTCCTGGCCACTCCACATACCCTCCCAGTATATTTTCATTAAGACCCCTTTTTGCTTTTATCAGCGAGACATGGCTTCTGTTGCTTGTTCAGTGAAACAGTGCATCAGGAAACCAGACTATTTCTAAAATCAGTAAAATACCAACCTTGGTCAGCTCGCCGGGCAGACCGTGCAGCACAAAGGCCTGCAAGGGGCTGTGCGAACGGCTAACGTGAAGGGTCCTCATCATCTGTCTTCAGAGATACAGAAGCTGGTGGTTCAGGTAAAACCTCAGGGAGGGATTGAGGAATCCAAAGCTGGTTGGTTTCAAAGGCTAACTGGTCAGACTAGACCCCTGAGCTGTGGTCAGAAGCCTAGCTCAACATCACGCAGACTCAGCACCCTAAGTGCCGGGTGGGGCCAGTGGTGTTCCCTTTGCAGGCTCTCGTTGGGGATTCACTGTAGTCCCTTAAATGCAGCAGAGATTCCAGCCCCCTTAGCCCCCACCCTGAGTGTTCCATGACACAAATCCCGGGAGTGTTTAATTTTCCTCTTTGTTTAGGAGGATGAAAGTGGGGCAAGAAGAGTCATAAATTCATACCGTCTGACACAAGGTCACAGCCAGTACCTCCTCCTCGGAGAGCTATGTGCTCCCACAGTAGTGGCTGGGGGGCTGGGCACAGACCCTCCTCAGGTCCCTGAGGGACTCGCTCCTCTGGCCACAACTGATGGATTGGACAATAGATCCAGAGGGAGACAGAGCATCTTTCCTGGGAATTTGGAACTGACACACAGAAATCAAGTTCACTCATCTGAGGATTGGCAATGGGGAGGGGCGGTAGTTGGAAATCAAATGAAACCAGAGCATGAGAGAAAGTTAGAAGTGAAAGAGACAGAGACAGAGAGACTGAGCTGGTGAGAGCAAATAGTCAGAAAGGAGGAAAACAATCAGGGGACAGAGGAATTCCAGCTCCTGACTGTCTAGTCTGTCCCAGCCCATCAATGACCCCGTGGGATGGTTAATATCATTCCAGTTTTGCCGATTAGGAAACAGGCTGAAATAGGTGGGAGCTCGGCTTGGTTGCACAGTAAATTTAAGTGCCACTGGACCCCTCACTTCCCATTGCCTGAAGGCACCTTAATCCTCACTGGGACCTCTGCGGTCCCCTGACAGCCCAGCACCCTGATCAAAGGGCCCCTGCGGGAGTGGGAACCCCTCTGAGTGTGGAGAGTTCCCTGCACCGACATGCCATGCATCAGCAGGCTCCCACTGACCCCAGGTTAAAGTCACCCCAGCTGTGTAGTCTCCTGACCCGCTTCCCTCCCAGCCAGGCACCCCCGTCCTTATCACCAAGTGTACTGCAGGAATTCAGGCACAGGGATGCCCAAAGTAACACGAGCCCACCGGCTGTACAAACAGCAGACTCCCAGCCCCACCTGGGTTCCGAGGGGACAGTAGGCATCCTCACATTTCATGTGTCTAAGACAATCTTCTTCTTCAGCTGGAGGTTATAGAGAAAAATATAAAGCCCAAAACATAGTTCGGTGAGGAATTCCTCCAAAAACCTGACTCCAGAGTCTACAACCAGGTGTACCTAACCCCCGGACTTGAGGTGAAGGTGGATTATTGATCAGCACAACCCCCAGTGGCCCAGCTCCTCATCTTGGCTGCCCAGAGGGGCTGAAGGAATGGGTAAGGCCAGGGCACTCAGGAAGAGCACAGAGGACCTGACCTCTCCCCTCTGCACTTGTAAACCCTTCCCCAAATCTCAAGGCATCTGACAGAGAGCCGCCACAACAATAAGGAGATGCTCCCTTCTCTTCACTCACCCCTGTTGGTTCACTTACGTGCTGAGCATCCACTGGGTCCCAGGACATGACACATAGGATGGCCGATGGGACAGGCTTGGTCCTTCCCCCTGGACCCTGTTCAATCTGATGGAAGAATGATCACTCATAAAGAGTTTCTCAAAATTATACAGAGACCAAAGAAAAACTGCAGAGTGAACCAAATTTAAAAATATATATGAAGATCCCCCAGTCTCCCCGCCTAATGTTAACAGCATAAAGCAAAAAATTCTTGCCTTTGATCACCAAGGAAGTTGTCAACCCCTCTCAGGTGGAAAGGAGAGTTATTCTTTGAGCAGGACAGAAAAGTGCTCCATCGGATTGGACCAGGGCCTCTGCATTCATTCAGCAAATGTGCATAAGCTCCTACTGTGTACGGGAATCTTCTAACTAGACCCGTTCTCAAGGCTCTCGGGCTTTATCAGTCAACAAAATAGACATGACTCCCCATCACTGGGGGCTCAGAGTTTAGCAGAGGAAAGAGGCAGCATGTTGGGGGTAGCAAGAGCTTGGAAAAATTAAAAAAAAAAGAGTGATATGAGCAAACTCGGGTGATGGCGGTGGGGTGGGAGGCAGGCAGGAGGGAATAAAGCAATCCTGGCTGATCTCACGAAGTAATGAACTTGAAGCAGAATAGATCTGAAGGAAGAAGGAAGAGCCGGAGCCAGAGGCCCCCAGAGTGAGGGGGAGAGTGTGGGTGGAGAGGCAGAGCACGCCGGGTCCTGAGGCCTTTGTGACAACTTTGGCTCCTAATGAAATGGTTACCTGTTTCATGAGTTTTGAGGGGAGGGGTGATGTAGTCCAACTTATGCTTTTGTGTTTGTGTTTTTTTGTGGGAGGTAATTTATGTATTTTAATGAAGGTGCTGGAGATTGGACCCAGGATCTCATGCATGCTTAGCATGAGCCCTACCACTGAGCTACACCCACCCCCTGAATATATGTTTTTACAGGCTCCCTCTGACTCTGTGTGGATGAGAGATTGTAGGAAAGAAAAGATGGAAACAGGAAGCTATTGGTGTCCAGGAAGGGCTGAAGGTGGCTCTTAGGAGGGTGGGGAGCATGGAGCAGGTGGTTAATGAAGACAGTGTATCCAGAAATTTCTAACAAGCATGATTTGCTTTCTGTGCGTGTAAGAGAAAGAGAAAGGACACGGTTCCCACATCTGGACCTGGACAATGGGAAGGATGTCCACTCCATCCACAGGGTATGGAACAAGGTGGAGCTGAGCAGGTGGAAAGGGGCTGGAATCAGCTCAGTTCTTCAATGTCATTGTTAAGGGGTGTATTATATATTGCCACAGGAATGTCTAATAGGTAGAGTAGTCTGTTTTCTTTATCTTTTTAACATTTAAAAAATATAATTTAAATGTATTAATTGTATTCTGTGACTGATTTGGGAATTTTGTTTCATGCCAAGGTATATGTTATATATATGCAAATGGAAAATACATCAGAAAAGGGGAGAAATGAGGGCTTTCAGATAAACTGACTGTCCATAACGTAGGTAAAATTTCAATAAAACCAGTCTTCAGTGCAAAAACCTCATCTCGGTGTTACATAAAAATAAATGAAAATGGACTATGTTGATGTATCAATATTTCATGTTACATAATAGCCCCAAACAAACACAATGTTTAACTATGAGGCTTGTAGAATTACTATTCTCTTTATTCACATAAATACAGAAATGAAGAAATTTTCTAAGCTAGAATAAGCATCTTAGCGGAAATGATACAGATTTGAGGATTTTACATGATATATATATACTGATTCAAAATTTGGAAAAGTAATTACATAGTAGAATATATGTATGAGTGTGAAAGCAAAATGAATGAAAGAAAAAGAATGTGAGTCTCAGGGATAAAGCTCCAGATGGAAAGGGCAAATCATGGCGTTTTGGAGAAATTGAGAAATTGATGACATGCCAATTTCCAAGGCTGGGTTGCTTCCACCAAAGGAATAGCAGAGAGAGAGAGGAGAGGCCAAGGAACCAACTGTGGGGCACACCCACAGTATATGTTTGGAAAAAAGAGGAGACATTGGCAAAGGACAAGCCAGTAGACCAAAAGCAGAAAGCAGACAGAGTGATGGGCTGGAGGTTGAGTGAAGCAGGAACACGGGGGAGGAGGGATGGAAGAGCTGGGTCAAATGTTGCCGAGGGGCCATGCATGATGAGGACTGAAAATTGACCACTATATTTAGCAAGGTGGGGTCACTGATGGCCTTGAAAGGGCAATTTCCATAGAGCAAGGGATCAGGGGAAAAGCCAGGGTGGGTGTAAAAGGGGATGGCTCAAGAGAAGATGCAGACAGTGAGTTTAAACAACTCCTTAAAGATTTGCTGCAAAGACACAGGGTGGCAATTGGTGGGGGTGAATTAGGCTCAAGGAGTGCTGTTTGTTTCTTTTAAGAGAATGGATGTTTATATACTGATGGGAGCCAACTAGCAGGAGAAAAACAGATGAGGTAGTGAAAGAGAAGATGGTTTTGGGAGTGACAACCCAGAGAAGATGGGAGGGATGGGGCCCCAGGGACCTTTGTAGGAACTGGCTTTCGATGTCACTTGTAATAAGAGGTGGGGCACCGAGTGTGAGATCACAGACATCAGAAGGCAAGCGGATGTGCTGGGAGTTGCTTGTGAAATTTCTCTTCTGTTGGCTTGTTTGCTTGTTCAAAGTAGAAAAGTAACCTTACCAGCTGAGGAATGAGGAGGAAGAAAGAGTTACTGGAGACATGAGCAGAAGATAAGAAAGAGCCTTCCAGGGAGAATAGGACACTGAAAAGAGCAGGGGGAGATGGGGGAGTGCACTCCCAGAAAGTTACATTTTCCCTTTGATGTCCCCAAATGTGTGATGTGTGATTACCCTTCCTGCTCTCTACGAAATAAAAATTAAGTATGGTTCAGAGGAAATGCTATTTCATTCTAAGTGGCTGCCAGTTTCTCAGGTATGGTCATCTTAAACTGCAAACATTACAAAAAATGTTGAAAAGATGAACCTGTGTACCTAAAATCCCCTATTTTCTATTAATCTGGTTACTATTAAATTCCCCTATCAATAACACATAACCAATACTGCCATGATGGAGGTACACCAATGCTGAAAAGAAAATGAGATCTGTATCATTTTCCAAAATTCCATAGCTTCCTTAATATGCAGTTCCCCTTGGAATTTAGGAATGTGTGGTATAAGTGTGAGAAACAGTTTGAGAAAACCCCGGCTCAGAATTACACAGCACAACCACATCTCAGAAGTATATACAGCCGTAAAATTTTTAGAAGCAAAACTCCGTAACTTCTCTTAAAGACTTTTGCAAACCTGGGCCTGCCAAGATGTTTCCAAACTGGAAATGAACTCCAATCATTTGCCTGGTACCGGGACCAGACGCTGGCCAGCTTTTTCTGTAAAAGCGAGAGAGTAAATATTTTCAGTTTTTCAGATCATTTTGTTGTAACCATGCAGGTCTGCAATAAGAAAGCTAAGAGCACTGGGAGACAGGAAACAAATGGGCATGCCCACACCCTCCCTTCCTCGCAGGGCAGCTTCTCTGTGGTGGGGAGCTTTGCCACAATCACTTGCTTCTTTGTTTCTATTGGTTTCTTTGATTCCAACTTACTGCTTAAGCTCAGAACTTCAGGTGGGCCTGGTCCTTCAGCATCCATGCAGAGAGAAGGTTGAGCGGGGGTGGGAACCCCACCTGACGGAGAAGAGAGATTGTTGGCAGGGACACTGCTGTGGCCACCATGACAGGAGACAATCACACCTTCCAGGGTGAAAGGGAATGAAGACAAGGGAGGGACACAGCAGTGGGAGCCCTAGGTCGCCTGCCAGGCTTGTTCTCCCTCCACAGCCACCCTAGGGGCCTGGGGGGTGTTGGGCTTCAGCTACGGTGATTAAACTGAAGGGACTCAATATAAAGGACCCTCCACCTCCTCACTGGGTTCTACACACAGCCCCTCTAAGTTCACCCTCTGAGTTTCTGGAACTCAGCTCGAAAAATACATGTTCAGGCCAGACCCAGAGCACAAGCCAAACACGACAGGGGTCACGTGGGGTTGTAACCACGGACTCAGTGTTCGGGGACTCCTTGCAAATCTGCAGAAATCCCTGTTCTGCCTCATTCCTGGGAGAAACCCCAGATCTCCCCCTGCTCTGTCTGTTCTTTTCTTGAGACTATTGTCCTGGAGGGATGCAGAGTCCTTCAATCTGGCCCTCCAAATGTACATAAGCAGCCTGTTCAATAAAACAAATTATACACTTTTTCACATTTGCCAGTTTTTTGATTCCAGAAAGGCTGTGGGACTCATTCTCACAGTCTCCTGCGCCCTCACCACTTGGTGGCCCTCTGCTCATGGAAACATGGTTTCCCAGAACTGCACCCTGCCTCCCAGCTGGTCAGAGGGGAGTGTCCCAAAAAGACACAGGTGTTTTTGAGGATCCTGTCCCCCAGCAGAAAGACTACTCCTGGAGCAACGGACAGGGTTCCGGCCTCCTGAGCAGCTCAGCTCTAATTCAAAGCCTAAAGTGGGGACCCCGAACATTTCTGAATGACTTTCTGTGTCACCTGGACTGGAGGGGCCTGATTTTTCTTTCCAGGAATGGAGGAAGTGCAGCCTCCATTTTCAGGGCTGACATTGATGATGGATCTAGTTCCCCCAACTTCACTGCAGGAAGGAGAGGCCCTTCCATCCCACAGCTTGGAAACACAGCCCAGGAGAGTTCTGAAGCAGTGCATCACTGCCAGTTCCAGCATCCCTGCAGAGTGGCCTCTGCCCCTGAATGAGCCCCTTCCCTGGGCCTTTCCTGCCCTGACACGACCACACCCCAGGCTATGCCAGAGCTCTGGGGCTCTGCATATCCAGGGCACACAGGTGG